ACCAGTTCACCTAGTTTCTACACCGGTTCATACCTACACCGGTTCATCCTGATTCAGTTAGTTTCTACTCTGGTTCGTCAGTCCAGCGACCTTAAGTTGTCCGGTTCAGCATTCCGACAGTCCCTTTTCCTCTGGTTCAGCATTCCGGCTCACTTCTTGTTTGCTATTTGCTGCACTATTATGGAACCCAAGCAAGATTCCTGGTCCCTTACTCCATCTTTGCCTCCTCCGACTCTTATTAATGGTCTCATGACCTCTGTCAAACTCAATGGGACTAATTACACTTTATGGTCCCAATCTGTTCAAGTCTTTTTTCAAGGCAAAGGATTTAAGAAATATTTGGTGAACCCTAAACCCAAGGAAGACACTCCTGAGTATGATCAGTAGGAACAAGAAGATGCTCAAATTATTTCTTTACTATTGAATAGCATTAAGCCTAATATTAGTTCTACTCTGCTCTACCTTGATATTGTCAAGGAGTTATGAGATCACTTGGCCACTATATATTCGGGTACAGGTAATTTTACCCGAGCTTATGTGGTGTGCAAGGAGTATTTTCGACTGGAACAGAGTACTCTGAGCATTGAGAATTATAACTCTCACGTTCGAGGAGTTTGTGAGGAGATGAAGACCTACCATCCGTTTACTACTGATGTAGCAGTTTGGCAGAAGCAACATGAGTACATGAATGTTGTTAGGTTTTTGGTAGGTTTGAAACCTGAATATGAGGCTATTCGTTCTCAGATTTTGGGTGGTTCTAGTCTTCCCTCACTAGGTTTACTCTCGTATACAGCGTGCTACTTTGTCTACTTCAGGTCTCAATCATTGTGTTTCCACTGATCGCTCAGCTCTTGTGGTTCCTAGTAGCCATAGTGATGGTCATCGAGGTGGTCGTGGTGGTCAAGGAGGTCGTACGGAAAGTCGTACGAGTGGTCGTAGGGGTCGTGGGGGACCACGTTCCTGTACTCACTGTGGTCATAGAGGGCATACTGTTGATTTTTGTTGGAATTTACATGAAAAACCTTCTAGTACTACGAATTAGGTTTCCTATCAGGATAACACCTCTGTTGAGGCTTCCATACCTCAGTCAGCTCCACCAGACACTGAGTCGGTTACTATTACACGAGAGGAGTATGCTCAGTTCCTGTCCCAACAACAGGCTGTTCCATCTCTCTCCACTGCTACTTTTGCCTAGTCAAGTACTGTTTTCACTTGTTTATTGTCCACTACTCGCAGTCCTTGGATCATAGACTCTAGCGCCTCTGACTAGTTTCTTGTGGAGGGAAGCAGTTCTTATAGTAATTCATTTGATTAATTGCATTCCTATTATTACCACTTGACTTGAATCCTTGTGTTAGTGATCATGATTATGTTCTATTTTTGTGGTCTACTTCCTCATGTTCTATTGTTCTCTTACTTTATGTTGATGATATAATTATTACCGGTGATGACACTTAGATACAACTATTGAAAAATCCGTTATAGTATCATTTTGAGATGAAAGATTTTGGTAGATTTTAATATTTCTTAGGGATTGAGGTTGTTTCATCTCGTAAAGGTTATCTCTTCCCTCAATCCAAGTATACATTAAATGTTATTCAACGAGCTCATTTATCAAGTTATTGGACCGTTGGAGACTCTTAGAGCTCAATGTTCGTTATTCATTCTCTAATGGTACTATCTTGTCTAATCCCACCCTCTACCGCACTATTGTTGAAAGTCTGGTCTATTTTATAGTTTCCCACTCATGTATCTCTTATGCAGTTCGTGTTGTCAGTTTCGTTTATTGTCTCACCTACCACTATTCACCGAGCTGCTATTCTACACATTTTTCAGTATCTTTGAGGAATTCTACATCAAAATCTCTTATACAAATCCATCATTGGTTTTTGTTTGTGTTCTTGGTGATTTTCTTATTTTTTGAAAAAGTACAAGTTAGGAAGCCCGAATACCTCTCAGGAGGTGCCGTGGCAGTATCGGACATGTGTCCGACACAGCTAGAAGTGTCCTAAATAGTGAACTCAGTCGGACACGGTCAAGACACAGTTAAGATACGTCTAAGACAAGGCAAGAATACATCCAGGACACGGCCAAGAATTGTTTTATTACAAAAATAATTTTTAACTATTAAAAATTTACTTTTTTTAATATATTTTTTGTTTCATAACTTATATACTATGAATGTTAATAGATGCACTGATTTTTGATGAAAATAGCGGATATTCAATTTGATCTATTTCAATTTTAATCAAAAAAATAATATTTGCTAGGTCTTATTATTAATATTGTTATAATATATGCTTTATTTTTTATTATATTACAACTCTATTATTATTTAAAAAATATATTATATTATTTTAATAGTCGTATCCTTACCGTACTCGTATCCCATATTTTTTAACTTTGTCATATCTCCGTATCTGTATCGTATCGGATACGACAAGTATCCGTGCTTCCTAGAGTACAAGCAAACTGTTGTTGCTTCTTGTTGTGTTATGGCCTCTACCATAGCTAAGATAGTTTGGTTACGATGACTACTTGTTGATTTGGTCATCCCTTTATCTGCTCCTACCCCAATGTGTTGTGACAATACCAATGCTATTCAAATTGTTCACAACTCGACTTTCCATGAGCATACGAAACATATTGAGACTTTGTGCGTTATCACCATATTGAGATTGACTGCCACTTTGTGAGTCATCACCTTTAGCTTGAAACCATTTATCTTCCCTTTCTTCCTACTTCAATGCAGTTGACAAATTTCTTCACAAAATCTCTATGGTGTTTTCGTTTTCTTTTTTGCATACTCTTGATGTTCTCTACTACCACATCATGAGTTTGAGGGCAAATGTTAGAATATTGTAGCCTATTAATATTTGGGGTAATTTAGTCATTTATATTGTGTACAAGGATCTTTATTGTGAATATTAGGTTAATAAGTTATTGAACAGACTAATTGTGTCGTTATGATAATTTCTCTCTACGCTCTTTTTGATCAATTTCTACAACCTTCACCCCGCCAATCCCTAAACTTTCCCCTAAATGCATGGTATGTATGTCGAGAATCAATAAAAAAGAAAAAAAAGACATAGCATCAATATGTATTGGATTGGTTATTCAAGCATTGATAAAAGCTGAAAGCATACCAGCCATGAAGCTTCGTTATGAAAAGTTGGTAGGATATCCAAATGCTCAGGCCTCAAAAAGTTCTGCAACAAGCTTATTTTTTCTGAAATTTCATGGTTAATCTTTGCATCGTCTGGAGAAGAAACAAATGTTCTAGAGAACAACTTTGTCATGACATACTTCTCCAAGCCCTGCCGCGAATAAAGAAGATAGTGTTATTAGGATACATAATCTTGCCACATAAAGGTTGCAGTAAGCCATTGCGAATTTCATGTACTTTACCAATGAGTATAGTAGCACCAATCTGCTGTCAATTGCTAAGAAGGTATGTTCATTTGAGGTGGGACTTTCTACCAAATTCTTGAAGGATAGTCTACCATGATGATTTAGTAAAGTTAGAGCATTGACTAATTAATTAAAATTATTTTCTCCTTCATTAGTGGCAGTCTAGCTACCCCAGTGCCTCACGGGATGTTATAACTTATAAATCATAATGTATTCTTCTCAGGCTAGACTTTGACTACTATATTTATTGCTATTCGACATGCCAAGCTACTCATGAACAGCTGCCTTATTTCAATGAACCAAACAAAGGTTAGCTAAGTGTCTACTTCAACAGCAAAAATAAGATATGTCAAACATTTATTGTGAACAATTGGCTTCAGGGGTTAGTAGAGAGCATGATGTTAAATAAAAAAGGAAAAATGAGTTAATGGTTTATCATATCCATTTGGCAACAATCTAAACTTGACCAAAAAAGAAGGTGTGTTTCTAAGTTTTATTATGCTAAAGAATAAAAGACAACAACTGTGGAGCCATAGCATCAATAACAGTATATGTTTGATGGTCAAGCTAATGCAAAGCAGCATTCTTGTTGAGTACATGTATTCTGTAGACGAAACTCCTCCTGGAGTTGGTATCAGTTACATTGATTTGCATACATGGAGGATTTGCATAACTAACACATGGTTCGAATTTGAAAATAGGGAGGCTTATGGATATCCATATACCACTTAAGTATGATGTAGAAAAATCTCCTAAAGTCTCAAAAGATTAATACACTTGATCCACTCTCTCCTTTTTCTCTTTGGGTACAATTATTAAGGGCTTTGCTTTATCAAGTAACCATCAGGCACATTGTATAAAGAAGATTAATTCATAAAAGTTGCTTGACAAGACAACCCAGAGCCGAACAAAAGCTTTTGGTTCCAGCATATTAAAACCAAAAGCAACATATTTTAGGAGAATGCAGTATAAGCATAGCAGTAGCCATAAAGCAACGTTAGCCAGAATATTTTTGGATACATTTTGGAATGCATTAGAAGACAATTTCTATCTTCTATGGAGTACTACTATGGGGAATTTAGTCAGAATGCTTGCCATGCGATTAAATATTACTTCAAAGCTAACAGAGGGCATTTCCCTGTAGTGTATTTTGATAAGGTCTATGACCCCATGAATTCAGATACTTTCACAGTTCTTTATAAAATATTAAAAATCCAATCAACAAATATTTGTAAACTTATTTTCTAAAATTATAATCATCATTAATATTATGTTAGTTTATCAATATGATATCAAAAAACTCTTTTATTTGGAATAAAGAACAAAGTGTATGTTAGTGTGAAGATTAGAAATGCAAGAATCCATTAAAAATGCTTTTCTATATCAAGCACTCTTGTCTAATTCTTCTCATGCTAAAAATTAAATGATCTAGAAATTTGGCCAATGGCCACTCTAAGAATAAATTAACTCACACAACATAAGTTCGGACACATACAATTAGTAGACTAAGCAAGTTCCACATGTAAATTTGTTGCATATGTTAATCGTTTGAGACAGACATTTGGTGAGTCCACATTACAGACATTAGAATATTTACCAGGGCTAAGTATAAAAATAATGATTACCTTTGAATCATTTTCTAGGTGAATTTATAGGTATGTATAGATGAGACAGATAGTAAAGGTGGCATGGATTAGAAAGTGAGGGAGAAAGAGAGTGAAAGAGAAAGAGATATCCATTGCAGCAAAGAGAACTTGTATTGTAGTACATTTTTTACTGACACTTTTATAAGTGTGCACACATCAAACACGTGCAATAAAAGGAAAATAGACAAAATTACAATAACAAAACATAAAACAATGCTGGAGGACTATAGAGTTAGAGGGGAGAAAGATATTGTGTTGAAAATTGATTTTGAGAACGCATATGACCATGTCAATTGGGACTTTTTGGAGTTTGTGTTGGAGGCAATAGAATTTGGAGAGAGATGGAAAAAATGAATGAAGATTAGTTTGGAGTCTATGAATTTCTTAGTTATCTTGAACAGGAGACCAAGGGGTAAGTTTCAAGCATCCAGGTGGCTTACGCAAGGGGATCATTTATCATCTTTTTTGTTCACTTAGGTGGCAGATGGATTGAGTAGATTAATGAAGATGGCGGAAAAGTTGTGATTTGGTTGAGGGGTTTTGTGATTCGAAGGGAAAGAATATCAGTATCACATTAACAATTTGCAGATAATACGATTTTCTTTTCTTCAGGGGATGAGGAAAAACTTGAAAATTTAAATAAAATTGTTGAGGTGTTTGGTGTGATTTATGGTTTAAAAGTCAGTGTGGAAAAGAGTATCATGGTTATCATAAATTTTAGTCAATAGAAGATAGAGAGTTTGGCATTGGAGTTAGGGTGTTCAATGAGAAGTTGGCCTTTGAAGTATTTAAGTCCTACTTTAGGGACAATCTAATGTATAGACTTTTTGGGACCCAGTTATTAAAAGAGTTAGTAAGGTGTCAGATGAGTGGAAGAAAGCTTTATTTCTAGATGATCATTGGTAGATGAACATTGATTTAGCCTGTTTTGGCTAGTATTCCTATATATCTCATGTCTCTCTTCAAAATGCCTTGTTTAGTGGCTAGAGAGATTGAAGGTCTGACAAAAGATTGCGTACGAAGAGGAATGTACCGGAGGGTTGTGTCTAGACCAAAAGATAAGGAAGCTTTTCAATAGGAATTTGCTGAAGAGGAATGTAGTTGTTGTAGATTGTATAGCTTTGATAAACTATACCAATCAATGTAAATAAAGACGAAAGTTTATGAGGATGAAAAGAGCGGAAGAACGGAGATGAGAAGGAAAGAAGGGGATAAGAATCAGAAGAAGAGTGAACAATTCTAAATATTATTCAATAACTCAAGTCTCAATAAAACCCTTACATGCATTGGGAAACTAAAACTCTATTTATATCTCCTAATGCAATAAAATTATTCTTCTAATAAAACTCTATCCAAAACAATCCTAATTACATAAATACTAGCTAACTAAACAACCTAGTAAATAATAATACAAATAAATAAAATCCTTAATCTTCAATTTGATGTTGAGCTAATCTCTTTTCGATCTCTATCAATTCTCTCGGACCAAAAAGAACTATCCTATGAAGAGTTATAATTGCATAAGTACTCCAAAAGAATCAACGTAAGTTGGCGAAGTGCATTCTCTATCTTAATAGCATCACAAAAAAATCTCCCTCAATGAGATAATACCGAGTATAACAATAACAGGAATTTATATCTTGCATCACCATATCCTTCACACAATGATCCACATGAAAGGACAGTGATGAATAAAGCATAAGAACTAGTGGCGAGAAAGTAGAAACCCCATCTAAATAAATTACTTTTTTTTATATGGAACGATATTTTATTAATAGTAAAGGTTACGAAAACCAATCATAGGTGGACAAGTAGTCCAACCCAAGATTGAAACTCAAAAAAAAAACCCACAAGATGCTATCCAATTTGCAACAATACTAAAAAAAGGCATATTTTCAAACTCCTCTGTCACATATGCCCATAATAAAGCCAATAAGGGTAGCCAGTCCCATAAGCATTTAACTTCTTCCTTCTTATCTTCAAAAATCCTAGCATTACTCCCCCCTCCCCCAAAAAATCACCCAAATGAGAGTCAAAAAAACACATTGCCAAAGAGTCTTACCTCTTTCACCTCCTCCCAAACCCCTAAATCCACACTAAGCATAAATGTCATTGATCTTGGAGCCACCCAGCAAATTGAAATTGTATATTCCATAGAAAACATGTCAAGAGACAATGCAAGAATAAATGGTCCACACTCTCAACAACCATCACCCCTGCACAATGCACCACTGTGATGAAAGTCAATTCAGATATCTCCTTCTTTGAAGCACATCATTGGGTCTTTAGTTCATACGGATTATTAGTAATTGTCCATGCACAAACTTGCACCTTTAAAGACACTCTAACCCTTCAAATCTTCTAATACAAAAGAAATAAAGGAAGTGAAGGATCATCAATTAGAGATTCAAAATAAGATTTGCAAGAAAAGATATCCGAAGGATCACTAATCCAGACCCATTTATCCAAAGAATTTGGAGACGTTGAGAGATCATTGAGCATGTAAACAAGCTCTTCATTAAGATTCCTACAAAACCAAAAATCTCAAGTAATCGGAGAAGAATACGAAGTAACTAAATCAGTAATGTATCTATCATGGTAACAAGAAAAACGAACTAGGCGCAGAAATAAGTAGAAAAATAAGACTCTCCCCTCCAAATGTCCTCCCAGATACACACTCTAGGACCATTCCCCACAATGAACCTAACTCTCTGAGAGTAATTAGGTAATCCCTGAGAAATGAATTTCCACGGACTTCAGAAAGTACCATTTTCAACCCCATTAGCCTATAACTCATGTTTGCTTCTAATAACCACAGGCCACAATAAATCTTGCTCCATAGAAAATCTCCTAAGTCATTTACCAAATAAAGCCACATTCTTTTTCAACAAATTTCCTACTAATAAACCACCCTTAACCTCTGGCCTAGACACAACCTCCCATTTGATCAAATGATCTCTTTTTTCTTTCCCAATCCCTTCAATCCTCCTTGCCGCCAAGCCAAGGTATTTTAAAGAGAGATTAGAAATAGATAGAGATACTAGCCAACACAAGCTGCACTAACATTAATCCATAGTTGTTAAATCGTGTATCGAAAGACGAATTATTTTTAAAAAATAATATATCGTATCGTATCGTGCATCGTAAGATACTTGCAATTTTAATTTTAAATAATTATTAATAAAATATATGTATATACCTTTATAAAAAAGTCATAGACTCATAATAACATAGCATTTCATTAATATTCCATCAATTAT